AATGTTGATGTCAAAATCCTGCATTTTTGCAAAAATCCCTGGCGCATAAAAGATTAAGAACCACTGCTTTAGAACATTGATTTTGAAACTTGTGAATCCATTAGAATCGTTAGAAGACAGAATCGCGATTCATATATGAATAGATTTTTACGTGCACCTCTAATTTTCTCTTCCTCTTCTCTAAAGCAGCGCAGCATGGCCTCGCCCCCTTTGCTGCCTTTTACCGAGGGCGGGGTTTATCTGGGTTTGTTTCGTCACAAACCCAGGAAGTAACCCAGTAAGTGTTGTAGTCCCTATCAGCCGTTTTTGTAGGCATAGGGATAGTTCACCCAAAAATGAAAATTGTCATTATTTACTCACCGATCGTGTAAGGACCCTTGCTGTCTAGGGGAAGGTCAGAGAGCTGTCAGAATGCAACAAAAATATCTTAATTTGTATTCCGAAGATGAAGGTCTTACGGGTTTGGAACAACATGAGGGTGAGTAATTAATGACACAATTTTCATTTTTGTGTGAACTATCCCTTTAAACTGCCTGAATTTTAAAAGACGATATCTCCATTTGCATTGAACTTTCAGCTTCGTAACTTTGCAGATATTTGGTTATGCTCAAACAGCAACATTACACACTAACTAACGTTAAAACGTGAAATCGCAATCAACCACCCCTTTAAAAAGGAGATTAAAAGTCTCTTTCAGATTTCAGGAAGAATTTCACATAATTTATTTTTAATGTTTTTAAAAGAAGAAGTCTCTTGTGCTCACCAAGACTGCATATATTTGAGCAGAAATACAGTAAAAACAATATTGTGAAATAATTTTACAATTTAAAATAATCGTTTTTCTATATTAATGTATTTTAAAATGTAATTTATTTCTGTGATGGCAAAGCTGAATTTTCAACAGCCATTACGTTAGTCTTCAATGTCATTTCTGAAGGATTGTTTCTAATATGTTGATTTGGTGCTCAAGAAACTTATCTTATTATGGAAACCGAGATATCGTGATTATTTTTTAGGATTTTTTTGTTAATTTGAAAGAAATGTATTGTAACAAGATAAAAGTCTTCTGAACACATACACACACACATATACACACATAACACATGTATACATATACACATATATACTTTTTTTTTTTTGTAGATGGATGTTGATACTACGCCATGAAGAACTTTTAGAGGAAATATGGATCTGTACCTGGTTCTGGTTTTGCCACATATGAGCCCATTCTCCTCCTCAGGTTGGGTTTTTCGCACACCCCACCCAGTTCTGATTTAAAACAGCGGCCCTATGAAAACAGGCAACGTCAGTAATTAAGACACTACTATCTAGTAGACACTACTACCTAGTCAAGGTATGAATCAGATTTCTGTATATGTTCTTTACCTTGGTCCATTTAGCTCTGCGGGCGATAGAGCAGGTTTCCGCTGGTTGCACCGACTGACGCTGGGGCAGGTCGTGGGGTTTGTACTCCTTGTCTTTGGTGTCATTAGTCAGAGTTGGCTTCTGAGAGTTCTGTTGGAGAAAGATATTTAATGTTGACAACATGCAAGTAACAAGCCCATACATTACCACTGAACCCGCAGGAACACCAAAACACAGACGAACAGCCTACCAGACACTACTTAAAAGTAAAAACAAAGTACAAATGACACCCTATAAAAACATACACAGGAACAGAACCTCAACTTTGTTCACTGCACTTCATAGTTGTATAGGCTGAAGACATTTATGCAAACTATTGTGCACGCCACCTAATCTGCACTGAATATATATATGGTGAAAATAAACTAGGCCGCTTATCAACAATGCTTCATAAACTGGGGCACCCTTTCTATTCAGATACAGTGTAGTTCTTTTCCCAAAAAAAAAAAAAAAAAAAAAAAGGGCCATTGGCTGTCATGTGCGCACCATAAAGAACATTTATCAGGAAAAGGGTTGGAAACTGAATGTTATAAGGCTGAAAAGGGGAAAGGGGAAGTTATAGAAGTGCTTTAGCGACCTCACCATAAGATTAGCTCCTGCCTGGAACAAATAATATGGGTAGAGAATCCTCTCATAGTGAGCACGAAGGTGAGAGCCAACTGCTTTGCCGGGAGCAAAGCCCATCTTCAGTGCGATCTGGGTCCATCTCCGCTCTTTACAGACCCCATCAAAGCCTCCCTCCTCTTTGACCAGCTAGACAGAGACAGGAGGTCACCAAAGACATGTTTACAACCATATTTCATTTTCAAAAAGGCCACTGAGAAAGTATAGGACAGCATTTTCAACTCTAGTATCCTAAATTACCTGTCACCTGCAGAAATGAAGTAATATGCTTTAAACTTTGCACATGGCCGCTAGAGATGACATAACCTCAGTCCTACCTTGTAAAGCACATATAAGTCCAGAGTTTTGCGCTCAACATGAGGAATTTTCAATGTACAACCCTGGAGTTCCCAGAACTTTGCTATCTGGTCCAGGAAGTTGAGCTTCACTCTGGTCTGGGCCTATATACAATACAACACAATACAACACAAATCAAACAAAGACCTCATTCTTTCAAAAGCGTTTTTTTTGCAAAGGAGAAAACATCAAGGCATTTCATATTCAAAAGAATTTAATTTATAATAAAGTTCACACTGATGGGTCAGTTAGATTTTATACATGTATTCAGCAAAGAATTAAATGCATTAAATTCATCAAAGGTGACAGTAACACATTTATAATGTTACAAAATACTTCTATTTAAAAAATGTTTTTACTTTCTACTTCTATAAAATAGTAAAAAAAAATTAAGCAGCTCAATTGTTTTCAACATTGATTATTCTTGAACAAAAACAATCAGCACATTAAAATTATTTCTAAAAAATTATGTAACGCTAAAGACTAAAGTAATGGCTGCTGAAAACGCAGCTTTGCCATTTCAGAAATAAATTACATTTTAAAATATTAAATTAGAAAATATTTCACAATATTAGTTTTTACTGCATTTTTGATCAAATAAACACAGCCTCCGAGACATCTTCAAAAACATTTTAAAAATCGTACTGACCCCAAACTTGTGAACAGTAATGTATATTAAAAAAAAACAAAAAAACCGAGAAACCAAAAGAGATGACAAAAGAGACAACAATGAGGACTTTTCTTTTTGTTAGTGACCTTTTCAAATTTTACACTAAACCCTGTGCTTTAAAGTGTGGCAGACCAAAAAGAGGTCACGCTGGTTGCAGGTTTAGGTTTAATAAGGCCACATGAACATATCTGCAAACACAAAATATCTAACAAGAAGGACACAAATAAAAAAGGTCTCACCTCCAACTCATTCAGCCTCTGAATGCGTGGCGTGAAATGCAGTCTGTCCACATCACAGGCAAATGGTGGCTGCCAACCCTGACATAAAGAAAAAAAAAACGTGTTAAGCTTTTATGCTGATCATTTGCCACAAGGCAAAGTCCTGTCTAATGGAAGAAAATTATTTGTGCTTATACCTGCATGTGGGTATTTCATTATGCCATCTTTCTACTGAACAATGATGCTTATGAATACAATATGTAAGCGATATAACATTTAATCTACATCAAGACGATAAAAAAAAAATACTGTTAAATACTAGTACTCAAAACAATATCATGATTTTCTTATAATTTCAAGAGGTCCTGATTTGTTTTCCACTAAATCACTTTCGTTATACGTCATATGGTAATTTCATAGTATACATATAAAATAAAGTTATAGAATGGTCCAGATGTCCACTGGCATGATTCTGAAAACATTCACAGTTTTTTTTTTTTTTTTTTAAGATATATTTAAGTGATAAAGCATCAGCCATAAACGCATATTCGCAGTACAGCATACTAGGATGGGTACAGAAGACTACAATACATTTCTTTATCTTTCCACTGAGGCCGTTTTAGGGTGTTAACAATTGTGAATAACAACACAAACGCAAAAATATGCATAGCTAATACAACATCTGTGTAAACGTTTAAAACGCGACCTAAACTGAATTTCACTTCTCACTTGCATTATTTACATCAAATTTCGGTTTCAAAGGCCAAATGCAAATACACAACATGGAGGACAACGGCTGAGACCAATTACGCCACCTCAAACTTCAGCAATATTTTTACGTTTGTTTCAAGATTAAACTTAAATCTTGAAGTATTTGATAGACGACAGAAATGTGTTGACAAATGCAGCGGTTTTACGCTATTTGCTAGCAAAAGTGGTCATTGTTAGTCAAAACAGTCTTTCCGTAGCACCGAATAAACAGTACAAAATGCATTTGATCCACTTTTGAATACAAAAACTGACACTTTAACGCCATATTTCAACATCAGATAACCAAATAAAATATTAGATTTAAAAGCAAATGCTTTGACGTTAAAGGTAAAAATTGGAAGTTGCATGGATAAAAAAAAAATGTTCATCAAAAAGTCCAGATTATTCGCAAAATGTTCTAAATTACATGCAAAATAAAGTTATATAATAGTTGGAAATTCACTATCGAGGATTGCTCTTGTTTGGGTGGGATGCATTCTAGCCAACATTGATTTTGGAAGACAATAACAATCACCACATTCTGTCCCCCAACATTTTCCATCAAGCAAACATTTATTAAAAGTATCTGCAAAAAAACAATCGTGATGCTCAAAAGAAAGCAAGAGTACGATAAAACTCTCTTGGAAAGAAAGTAAGCGATGTTATTGTGGTCGCTATTGGTGTAAACCACACGCAAGCATTCACGCATAGCTAGTAGCTGCGCGCACACGCCGTTACGAACGTTCGCAATGGCTGGAGCCGCAATCCGCCATGTTGAAAAGACCTGTCTTCAGAAAAAGTGTTTAGGCATCTGCGACCTGCGAGTAAAAAAGACGACCGAGAGCTGGCGTGCATCTGACAGTTCTGTTATATGTCGAAGAAACTTACCGGGGGCGGTCGGATCTTGCAGATGCCAGTGTTTTCTGCAATTGGACGTATTTTGTTGATGAACCCAAAAGGGTCGGCAAATTCCTCCCAACTGGGCTCAAAGACAGGGCACTCCGGTGGTGGAATAAACTCGTTGGGTCGTGACTGGGTCATTCTGGGGAACTTGATCCAAATGATGACATGTAGAAACTGCAGTAAACTGTTTGAAGTTGAAGTAAATGTTTTAATTAGTCTCGAAAAGATGCCATGTTAAAGAATGATTACACCTGAACTCCCGACAATTAACATCCTCATCCACTTTGGGAAACGTACACAGACGGAGTGCCGACGTTACAGTGCTTAGTAGTCTTCCGCTTTCAAAAGTAGAGACGCTGGATTTCCTTTCTCCATCCGACTTTCTCACCAATGTAGATTTTTTAAAAGACATTTTTAAAAATGTAAAATGCACACTTTAATTTTTCATAAGGTATGGCAAGTGGAAAAACGCATTATTCAATATCGCAACACTTATGTAACAATCAATACTAACAAAGCTTTTGGTTTTGTAATGGTCAGCAATGATCTGCATGACACAATAAAGCATCAAATATACGTCACTTCAATTAACTGTATTATAGCAAACAAAATATACAATTATATTTCCACACGGAGCTGTTTATAGAAGTCACCCACTTTTTATTTTCAAACGCGTTTGCTTTTTTCCTAGCTCTTATCTCCTGGCGAAGGCGTAAGCATTTTAAGTAACAGACAGTACTCTCATAAAATCTGTGGTCAAAAACAAAGCTTTTATATATAACAAACCCCTCAAAAACTTTCGTACATTTGTGCGTTTTAACGTCTCCACTAAAGTGTTTTAAAAAGGCAGAAGTAGGTTGCCACTGAATTAGAGAAGTGACTTGCGCGGATTGACACACCACAGATTCATTATAACCGGAATTACTTCTTTAAATGGACTCTTTCAAGTTACCCACTCGGAAGTAACAGATGTTGTCCAGGGACGACGAATTTAGCCACTCTCCTCCCGATTGACATTTAAATTCACGATTAACCTCTGGAGTGAGGTGGCATCGTGCAAACAGCACATCAAAAACCATTTGAATATATAATCCGTGGGCATTTGCAGCGTCACATCACCCGATTTCGGAATGCGGGATCCTTCAGCGGAAAATGAAATACTGTGCCAAGACAGAAACTATCTCACCGTACTGGCGTTGCGCTTGACTTCTGTCTTTACATATCTTTGTGCAGAAGGACCATCAACATCCACCGTAGTATTCCATGCGAGCAATATCTATGAGCACGTACCACACGTCAACTCGGAATCTGTCGCCCCCTATAACACAGGACAGATAACCCGGTTCCCTGATCGGCCTAGCGCAGGAAACAGCCACAGCTCTATTCCACCAAGGCAGACTGCGGTGTGGCGGTAGTAGCCTGACCTGTTACCGACGATATCAAGGATATTGTTTTTGAAATTAATAAATCTTCTTTGCTAATTTGACTTCATTATGGCTTATTTTCTCCAAATCACTTTAAAGCATATATTTTTTAATATTCTTGTTTACAGCAGTACATCCAGTCAGGGTGTTTAGGTATATCTGTATGTGTAATATTTATCTAAAACATACGAAAATATATAGGCTATACATTGTTTTTGTTCAAATAAGATATGACAAAACAGCATATATAGATTTAGTTTGATGTATGAAAATAGCAAACAAAACTTTATATGTGTATGTATATATATATATATATATGTATGTGTGTGTGTGTGTGTGTGTGTGTGTGGGTAGTAATTATCTAAACCATGAGTATATATACATATATTATTCTGTTCAAATGTGATACATGACAAGTACATGTAAATAGTATTGTAGACACTATAGTTCATTTATGAAAGTGAGGATAGCAAAATAAAATAAACTGACATGTTATACTGAAAAATTCTTCATACAGTGGACTACTCGAAAGATTGATACACATTTGGGACCAAAAATTATTCAGACACTTTGACCTGACCGTGTTTTGCTCAAGTGTTTTTTATTTAATTGCTAATGTGAACTTTTTACACCACAGACTGAACAAAATTAAGCATTGATTGGTAATTAGTTGACCTAAATTGGTATTATCTAATTGTGTACTTAAATGTAACAGCTGACAGCTATTTAACCTAATTCATTACATACCTTTCTATCAAAGTTATCTGACATTATCAAGATGAATTTGTTCTGACACAGTTTAACTCTGAGTTCTTGTCGTATTACCATTTTCTAAACTATAGCACATAATGTGAGAAATGTTGATAGTGTCTGAATAAATTTTGGTTTGACTGTATATATACACAAATACATATATGTGCTTTTTAAGGGACAATTTTCGACACAATTTAGAGTTTTATTTTATTGTTTCAGTTAATATTGCAAGTGTCTGCTGAAATAGTGAAATGATCAATGATGAATTATTGTCCTTCTAAATCTTTTCATACACAAAAGTGACTTCATGTTTTACGCATGGAGAGATAAGAAGGATGGAGAGGACTTGTGTTAAGGAATGTTTAAAAGGATCGTCTCTATTTCTTTTTGGCAGACTGATGATAGACAGGTGAAGTAGTACATTTAAGCATACAGTTTGGTGAGAATGAAAACATCACAAAAAACATTATACAAAAACCAACCGCATTTATCTGAACTCTGCCAAAAGAACAAAATATGAAAGCCATTTGTGTTATGTAGTCGAATACCATAGAATTTTCCAAACAGTGACTTCAGTACGTGCTTTATTCGTGGTTCACCCTGTCCAATGCCACATAGAAGCTCTTCTTGTCATCCAGGCAATGCCAACCAATGGGTCCGATCTCACAATCCGCACAAATAAGGTACTTCACTTTACCTACATCTTTTGTAAAGCCCACATTCTCAAATGTGTACATGTCATCAACCAGCCAGTGAGCGGTCAATGTGTCCCCATCAAACGTCCCGTCTGACTGACCAATGGAGGTTTTCTTTCTCATTACAGGCAGAAACAGCTGGGAAATGGGATCGGGTGTTGCGTAGAAAACAGAGGACACAACAGTCTTAAAATAACATTCTCATCATCATCATATATAACATAAATTGTTTAAATTACAAGTCAGTCGGACAAACAGACTATAATTCCACAAATGACTTAGTGTAAATTATACTTAATTATTATGTCATGTAACACATGAACCATAACTATATTTAAAATGTTTTACCTCCTTTTCTGCAAACAGTGCCATGCCTGGGCAGAGCACGTTGGAGCCACATCTCTGGCACAACACTGCTTTCACATTTTTTCCATCTTCTGAAACGAGAGAGGGGTCTACAGATCTCTCGGTAGAGCAGGTCTGTTTGCTGTCATCCATGTTAGTAAGCAACTTTGTTCAAACTGAAAACAAAACATACGATCAATTAGAATTTAACAATTATTACTTGATTAAGCTCGGTCTGTCAATACATCTAATATGGTATTAATATAAATAGCTAACTGGCTAATTAAGTGACTAGTAAGGAAGAATACTCGCCTCTTGAGTCAGACCATGAGGAAAACTGATCTCAAGACAGATGTATTATCCAAATACAGTCTTAGAAATGTTGAGTACAAATATGGCATCTTAGGTGTAAACACAACTTAAATAGCTAACTGGCTAATTAAGTGACTAGTAAGGAAGAATACTCGCCTCGAGTCAGACCATGAGGAAAACTGATCTTAAGACAGATGTATTATCCAAATACAGTCTTAGAAATGTTGAGTACAAATATGGCATCTTAGGTGTAAACACAACAATAGACACTACTTCGAACATACTAGCGGACTACTGTTGGATAACGTTACTGCTAATATTTGCACAACCGGTAAAGCAGACCGGTTGAAAACAAGAGACGACTTTTACGTTCCGCTCAGAATAACACAGACTCCATTTTCAAGCGCCGTAGTCGTTGTGTTCGTATGATGGGAACATCGAAGTCCAGAGACTATGTCGCACATGGATTATTGCATATTTTAGATTATTTATTTAGATATATTTTGCAAAAAAAAAAAAAAAAAGTGTCCGTTCGTGGGGAAAGTGTTTTTATGCAAATGTATAATAAAACAGACTCCCAGGGATTAAATTGTGAACATATCAAAATCTCCATTGTTGCGTGAACAATTAATCTCCATCATATAAATCCACCAAATAAGAGAAACACAATGTATGACCCATACATATTTATTGAAACATTCACATTTCAGTTAAATGTAAATGACTTACCACCTCTACACATAACACATGAATATATGGATAGTTTCGTCTCTGTGGTAAAGCCACACAGTTAGCTTATTTAGTTAAAAAGGATCAAACACTACTTTTTACAAACAGCAGTTTGAGAAAGTTCATCAATAAAGATCAAACTTTTTTGTTTATGTTATCTTTTTAATGTGATTGGGTTGCTTGCTTAAGTAAATTAACTAGCTATGCTTGAAACTAATGAAATTTACTACACTGTAGTTTTGGCCCATCTATTTGAAACCTATTTCCAGTGGCCTAAGGCACAGGAATATTCTTATACTTTACAGGAAAGTTTATACTTTACAGACTGCACAGATATATCCATGCAGAGGCTTTAATAACAATGATATTTGACATCTGTGCTGTAAGGTGCAATAGTTGACCTGTATGTTTTTATTTGACCTAGAAGTAAAAGTTAAAAATTGCGAGTGTTCAAAGCAGGTAGATTTGACCAACAACCCTCAAACCCTTATTTGCCCTTTGTGCAGTTTCCAGTCAAACACATTGCTCTATTCATCAAAGTTTGGGCAATACTTTGGGTACGCATCAAATGATGCCAAGAATTGTTGGTTTACAATAAGCAAAATTTAGATGCATTATATTCTGAGGGGGCAACTCTACAGCTCAATGAAAGTGCTTTTCACTACAAAAGAAACAAGTTCAAACCCCAAGAGACTGTGCTCAAATTAAAGTTTGATGAGAACAAGGGTCATCATGTTCCAGCTATCGGATACTTGTACAGCCTACGGTGCCCTTTAACCACACAAACACTTTCATCAAATGAAAAATCATGGACTCTTTGTAACAGGAAAAAAGAATGAAAGTCAAAACAATCAGGGAAAAAACTCAAAGGGAAATAAAAACAAATCAAGGAATGAGTAGAAATGTGTGCACTAAAAATCCTAATTGAAAAGGGATGTGCATGTAGAGCTCTCAGAGGAGAGTGTCATCAGTGCAGCCTCCCTCAAGGCCATAGCGGAACTCCTGCAGGTTGGACACGCCATAGAAATGAATGAAGGCCGCTGCCACAACCAGCACATGGAATATCTGGTGTGAGTGAAACTAAGAAGAGAGCAAAAGTAGGTGAGTAAAACATGCGCAAATCACTATATTTCAGAACAAGATTAAGGAACTAATTTCTTCACTATGACAAAACAAAAACACATTATCTTACCCAAATATCGCACTTGCCCGGGAAATAGCGCTCTGGGATTCGTGCAGCATACAGCCCAGCACCTGTGATGTACATGGCACCCATTAAATAGAACCAGCCCATCTGTCCAACAGTAGTGGCCTTGACGAAACCCTCCTCGATGGTGAAATGCATGGTGGGGACGATCCCGCTCAGTCCAAGACCCATGAAAACTCCTAAAGAAAACATTTTTCAAAAACAACATGCTATGAATTAATGCACTGTTGTCTTGATGCAGTGTTATTTAGTATTACTGAGGCACTATTATAGTTTTTGTTTATTTTAAATTAGCTGTTATTTATTTATTATTTAACTTTGTAGTAATTTGGTGTTTGTTTTTGTCATTTTTATTTTTAATTTGTCTTTCTTAAATTAAAGATAAGAAATATTGCCTTGGCAACTAGCTGAAATAAAAAGTTTTTCATATTTTCATTTATATTATATTTGTATATTTTCGTTTTATATTTTATATTTCATTTTATATTTTCATTTATTTTATTTCAAACAATGAAAATATATTTTTCAGGTTTTAGTTTTTAAATTCTCTAATCAATTCCCAAATCCAGCCTTAATTTTTTTTTCTTGTTCAAGAAGCAGTTTAACATTAAAATACAGTAGAAAAGATAACTGGAATTTCCATTTCAAAACTACAGCCAATTAAAGTTATGAAGAGCAAGATTTTAGACCAATGAGATTTTGATGTGGGCAGGGCTGCCCAATGCACTGCAGCAAAAACCAAACCAAGTGACAAACTTGCATGTCTTTTGAATGGCTTCATGACTAGACAAATAAACAAATGGATGAGATTTCTTTTCTTTCATTGATTTTTCATTGCATCTCATCAGAATAAATTTTTCAGCATTAAAGACTGGACTAAACATTATGGCAAATAAGTGACTGCCCACCTGCTCTGGTGGGTCTGTGGCGGGGAGTGGAGAAACGGTCCCACTGGGCAACTACAATAGCTGCAATGCCCAACACACAGACGATTGTGAGGTAGATGAGACGCGGCTGAGGAGAGCAGTAGAAGGAGTAGTAAAGCCAGGGTACAAAAGAGCCCATGATCAGCAAAGCAATGCCAGAGTAGTCTAGTCTGAAAGAGAGAGAACATGAGAAACAGAGAGATTAAAGTCACTTAAAATCACTTGAAATAGAACAGGTAATAACAAGACAATAAACGTACTTGGAGAAAGTGCGAGAGACTTTCTCAGAATGGCAGTAGACCGTGTGAAAAAGCCAAGAGAAGCTGAGGCACAGCACTGCACCCAAGAAGAACATCCCGAACACCACCTTCTCCTGCAACGGGGCCATGAAGTACATATTGGGCCTTAGCATGGTAAGTGTGCCCAGGCACAAGAATAAGATTAACCCTGTGGAGGGAAAAAAAAAACAATATAATGGGTCAATGTAACACTTATTTTAACCTTTGACTGGATATTTAATTTATTTAAAAATACATTAGAATGCAATTCATACAAACAATGGCTTGAATCCCCATCTTTTATGACTTTAATGTTTTTAATTTCTGAATGAAATGTTATATTTTAATATTTTTTAGGGATATTTTTAGGGGGTATAAAGTCAAAAATATCATATAAATAACTGTTATTTACACCAAATGACACCATGTAATTAAATGTACACCTGACTGAAATATTATGAACTTTTTTCTAAATCATAAGAAGCGACCACAGTGTTATTTTAGTATTATTAAGTATTTATTAATAATTTGAATTAGGTTTTATTTTTATATTTTGAATTTTCATTTGAGTTTAAGTTGGGGTCATTTTGTTTTGCACTTTAGTCATTTTTATTATATATACACACAGTATATATATATATATATATATATACACAATGGTGTGAAAAAGTGTTGGCCCCCTTCCTGTTTTTTAAATTGTTTGCATATTTGTCACACTTAAAAGATTCAGATCATCAAACAAATTTTAATATTACACAAATATAATGCAAGTAAATACGTGTACTGTAGTAGATATACGCAGCCAGCAGGCGGTTGGTTTAGGTTTTTTTTGGCATCTCAATGTGGTCCTGTTCGGTATAGCAACTTGGCTTCTCTAAAATTTAAAAAAGCTCTTTGCTGTTATACTGTACACATACTATAAAATTCAGATTTTTCAGTATTATTTCAGTTAGCAATGTTTCTAAAAAAAATTTTTTTGTTTTTCCATCTAATATTCATATTTTATTTAATTTGAGTATTTATTTAAAAACAATTTTAAATATTTTTAGCTTTAGGTAACAATAAAAACACTGCTTGGCATATGTGTTTTAGACTAGATTGTTTTAAATGTTTTCCTTTTCTTGATCATGGACGCTTTGTCACTGACCCTATTATATATTGATGTTATTTTATATAATTATTTAAATCTTGAAATCTTAATGACAAAATTCTTTTTAATTTGTTAATATAAAATAGCTATTATATTTCATAAGTAAAAGGTTTATCCTGATCCCACATGCTCTCAAAATTAGAGCGGTGTTTGTTTTTGTAATTGATCTGCTGCATACTTAATGCACTAAATATATGCATGAGGTGCACAATAGCCACTATTCTCTGTGACGGCTCGACACCGTAACTCTAATCTTACCCAACAAATGAGTCCAGATATTCCCGGTCTCTGTGTGGATCCTGAAAATGCTCCCAAAGCAGGCACGGAATGAGGGCATTGGAGGCCGATGACCGTGCAGGAGGTAGTCGTTGTCTTTTAGCCACTCCGGCAGGATTTGAAAGGGAATGACCCTCCAGCGGCCCTCCCAGACCTGCAGAACAGAGATCCAGCATGAATTTCATTTAATTTCTGTTCAAGCTTTAAAACGGTTATGCATGACGACCACACCTTATGCACGAACTCCTCCATCTTCTCCATTGCATGGTGAGCCTGCAGTGGTAGCGTCAGAATTTCTCCAACGTCTTCATCCTCCTCTTCATCATCAGCGAGACAGTTTGCTCCCTGTGGGCACAATCAGAGCTCAAAAGGAGCCTGCAATACTGCTGGCACTGAATATGAAAGACTCTGTAATGCATTCTGATTAATAATTACGTGGCTTGCCTCTGACTGGACTCCTTTGGCTCCTATGGGGCCATTTTCCTCCAGCAGGGGGCCCAGCTCCATCAGCTCCACGTCGGCTGGAACGTGGCATTCCTCCGTGACCTGGCAGTCTGCTTGACTTGCAGACCTGATTTGGCCTGACATTAGTAGACTGCCCTGTGACCCGTCTCAGACCTCTGAAGCCTCCACTTCAGTTCACTGAGGGCCAAAAGTCATACATTCAATCAAAACAAAACTTC